TCAGTGGCACAACCTCAGGGATAAAATGAGGAGATTCTCCACCAACGAGGCAGAGTTAGTGCCAATGATTATGTGGAGGAAAAGTTAGGTGTATTAGTTTTCTAGGGATGCTGTAACACATACCACAGATTTTTGTCTTATACAACAGAAATTTATTTTCTCACAGTTCTGGGGACTGGAAGTCTGAAATCATTGTGCAGCTGGGTTGGTTTCCTCTGAGGCTAAGGGTTGGTTTCTTCTTGAATTATAGATGCAGAGTTCTCCCTATATCGTCATATGGTCTTCCCTCTGTACGTGTCTGCGTTCTAAAATCTCCAGGTCTATCAGGACACCAGTCATATTGGATTAGGGCCCAAACTAATGACCTCATTTTAACATAATAGCCTTTTTAAAGAACCTATCTCCGAATATGGTCACATTCTTAGGTAGTAGAGCTTATGACTTCAACATATGAATTTGGAGGGGATACAACTCCGCCCATAACAGGTGGTGAAATGAAGAAACTCAGGAAGGAATAAAAGCAAAAGCAATAAGTTTGGTCTAGGAGCAAGAGTCATTGGATTGAAGGAAAAAACAAGAACAACAAAATGATGATTTAGAGTAGGAATGACTTTTTAATTTTTATTGAATTTATTGGGGTGACATTGGTTAGTATAATTATATAGGTTTTAAGTGTACAATTCTATAATATGTCATTTAGAGTAGGAGTGATGACAAAATAAGCTTTAGAGTAGGGAGATAAGTAACTGAAGAAACTGATTAAATAAACATATTGGGAAGGGACATTACAGAGAGCATGTATCAAGAAATATAAAGATGACAAAAGTTTTAAAAGTTAAAAGTTACATTCACTTTACAGACTGATGAAAAGGCCAGGAGAAGTGATTTGTCTTTGCCCAAAGTAACACTGGTTAATAGCTAACTGGTTAATATTAAGATGACTGAGATGCTACCCTTGGGGTTCTGATTGTCACCTCAGGTATTTCTACTACGTTAACTTGCTTTCCTAACTCACCCCTGTCCAGTTGCCTTTTACCTGTCCTTGGATTCAGTGCTCATTAACTCCTATTATCTAGTATTCCTCGATTGAGACGATGTATCATTTTGGAAGTTAAGTGAATGCCTAGTGATAAATCATAACTGGCTCAAGTATTGTCCATTTTAGGTCATTTGCTTTGTTAAAGAGACTATTAAAATGGCATAATTCATATAAAAATAACCTTCGATAAAGAACAAGTTGGCACTTTTTAACCATTCCCCAATCTCAGCTCCTACCTCAAGGAACAACTCTTTTGACGGTTTAATTTCTAGAAATAGTACAGCATCATCAAGAAATTCAGCCACCTATAAAGAAAAGGACGCAGAAGAGAGTCTATTGAACAGTGAGACTTTTGTCAATGAAGCCTATGATGAGCAGGTATGCCTGAAAGTCTCTTTAAAAACAAAAAAACAGACTGTAAGAAACAGTTAAAGCATGCCCCTCCTGAAACATCCTAGCTGGGTGAGAATAGGCAATGCTAACTAGCGAATGATGCTATTATGCATAAGTGT